ATATAGATAGAGAGATAGAGCGGTAGAGAGATAGATAGAGAAGATAGATAGAGAGATAGATAGATAGATAGATAGATAGATAGATAGATAGATAGATAGATAGATAGATAAGCAGATAGATAGATAACACGAGAGATAGATGGATAGGTAATTAGGTAGATAGATGGGTAGAGAAAGATAGATAGACAAGCAAACGAAAGAAAGAAAGAAAAGACAGATGGAAAGAAGGAAAGAAGGGAGGAAGGAAGGAAAGAAAGGAAGAAAGGAAGAATGACGGAGAAAAAGAGTCAAGAAAAGAAAGAGAAAGAGAACTATAGTTTTTATATGTTTGAAGCTTCCGCCAACCGGCTTCGCCGGCTCTACTGGTATGGGATCAACATTCTGGCTGAATTGTGATGAGAACCCAGCTACCCAGGGGTACACATATGGGCCAATACAAACACTGGTTCCAGTCAGCCTTAAGTTATCTCCAGCTTCGGATCAAAAAGTATGCCGCAGCGTAACTTTGACCTGACGACTTCCTGCCATGTTGGTCTTGACCTAAGAAAGGTGCGAATCCAACTCGCCGCTAATGGCGTGATCCAACAAATCAAAACCACGGGACACCAAAAAGAGTAGAGGCTAGCTCTAATCGTATGCTGACTTCAGCTGAACAGCTTGACTCAGAGATTCCCAGACCACACGCTGGCCTATAAAGCACTGCGCTCAGGCTGATGTGGTCCACTTCGTCCACTTCCAAATCCATGCGATGAAAGCGGGATAAAACCAACGCCTTGATGAGAATCCGCTCTGGGTGACAAGGCCCCCCGCGCCCCCCAGGAACGGTTCTCAGTATCTTCTCGGAAGGGATCTGGGAAGGCTCCGAGGGTTCCGAGAACGCCCTCTGCGTCTGAAGAAAAAGGTAAAGAAGACTTCAATGCCCAGAGAGCTTCAAAACCAGGCAAGGGATACGTAAGCAAGTGGAAGCAGTCCATTTCGCATGAGGGTCCTTTAAATTAAAGGCCTGCTTTTTGGAGGCACGTCCACTGAGAACCCAATACCAACAGCAACCATGTCAGCCTCGGAAATTCTTTCAAGTAATCCAATGCTATCGCTCGAAACACTTTTGCTGGGGACTCACAAACTGCCTCGACAAGTTCAAGAGAACGTACCACGCCCGGGATGTGCTGCAAGACTTGCTTGCAAACGATTGTTTCTACACATCCGCACCAAAAGGAGTGACATTGATTGTTGCCAAAAAAAGCCGATCCGGAGGCCAGCTCCCAACTTTGCACCAAAGATCTTGAGACTATTGTGCCAGTTGCGACCATCCTTGGGCCAATTGTTCGTGCCAAACCCCTCCCAGAAACGCATCAGGTACCCGGTAGCCATGACCCACACTTCGGTTTGCTGAGTCAAGATGCCCATGGCATTCCAAGGATTGCGATTCAGCAGCTCGTCATACTTCAGCTCCTGCCAGAGCCCAGCTCTGGAAGTGTTGGTGAGGCTGTCGTGCACATAGTAGCGGCCATCACCCGAGCAGCCGCCGATGACCATGATGTGGCCTCCTGGAAAAGGTTTCTTTCGCTGTTGCCGGGCTTCTCTCAGCTTCTGGTACCCTAAGCTTGAGATTGCCTCGACATGGGAAAGAGGAAAGCGCACAGCAGGATATCTGTTGGACCTCCCACAGTTCCCGCCAGAGCGTTTCCGACGGCAAGCATGACACGGATGTAGATTCCCCACTGCAAGCTGACCAACAAACGGTGGAACTTCCAAGCCAAGGCAACGCGTTTTCTTGCCATACTTGCGGACAAACGAACAGCAAAACGAGTTGAGTTTCAGCTGGCTTCAGGCCGGTGACCCTCCAGAACGCATAAATCAGGAACCTACAGGACTACCAAAAGGAAACAGAACGTCGAAAACACCACCGGAGCCCACACAACCTGGTGGCCAGTGCAATGCAACCTCTTGCATGTTGCGGAAGCATTCTTGCCGAATCATCCAAGAGCCACGGGACCTCGGGACCTGCCTCTGACTTGCAAACATCGTCTTTCGTAGGACGCGTGGTTGAATGCAGCTACAATTTCTATACATCCACCCGCTGGTCTCAACCGTCGCTTGCTGTGCTGTTCTGTTCCCTCAACGCGCAGGTTCGAACCGACATGCTTGAGCGGTGCTTTGCTTGCTTGGGACTTGGGAATCTGGATGTCGCTGTGTCAGTCCGGATTTCTGCGATTTGTTAGACTACCTCACGTGATCCCACCAAAAATCAGACACACAAAACGCATAAGGAGCGCTCCTGAAAAGCAACCGTGTCATTCAATGCCGGAACTTGGAACGGGCCCGAAATACACAGAGAGGCATATCTGGAACGGGTCCCATTTAAGCACCGAAAAGCCCCCCAAATGATGACAAAACCAGTCGAGAGCTGCATGAATCAAAGATGAGCAACGGTCTTTTAGGCGATTCGATTCGCCGACTTCACGCGTCCAAAAGGCGAACAAAAACAACGAGACATTCCGTCCCAAGTGCCAGCCGCTGGCAGGGTCGACCCAGAAGACCGCGTAGCCGAGCGGATGGCCCTGGTTGAGCACCTCGATCAGCTGGTCCTGGCTCGAACCAAACAGGTCTATACCCCAGACACAGGGAAAACTGGGATTTCCCCAAATCAAAAAGCGATCCATTTTCCTGGTGCACAATTGAAACCACGTTTGGAGGTTCCTTTTGAAGGGAAATGGCTCGGAAGCCCCTGAACTACACCCCGTGAAACCGAACATCTCAAACCAAATCTGTCCATTGGCCTCCCGTTTCAAGGCCGTCCCCATTTTCTTCGCCTTCCCATCATCTCCCCCCCCCTTTGAGCGAGCGGCCGACACACACACACCCCCCGCGCCTCACTGAGGGGTCCTACCGCCTGGTACTTCTGTTGTGAGGACCACTCGATGGCGGTCTCAATGTCCTTGGCGCTGGCGCCTTACCAGATAAAAACGGGGATGTATGCATATCTGCATATATATATATATATATATATGTATATATATATATATATATTCATGTATACATGTAATAGAACAACAATTTGGCGTGGGTGTTTTGTTCAACCCATTTGATTTGTTCATTAAACAAAACCCAATGGTGTTTTGTTTATAGGCCATTGGGCAAGTGGCTACAAGTTGGGTGGTGTCCCCCACAGCTCCTGTCCGGAACCCTCCCTGATTCAGCTGCAAACCCCCACACGAGCATATCTGGGAGACCCAGTGCAAAACACCTTTCAGCTCGGGAAAGACCAAAAACATCTCCGCAAGGTGTTGCGAAGCTGGTTCCTTTCCATGCATCTGGTTGCGTTTAGTTTAGCCCAATGTAGTGTGACTGTCGCTCAAACCCTGCACGCTGGACCGGTTGTTGCCTCAACAGTCCAAGAGGAAAATTAAATCCTGACTGACATTGGTGAGTGTACATATGACTGATCATGCCCAGCATGCGGCGGATAAGCCGGTGCTCAGCTGCTTCCTTTGTAGGTGCAGTGGCTAGTGACGATTGTTTCTAGCTGATATTGCTTCGGCATCCGCAACTAGACAAGCATGATCAACATCTTTGCATGTCAAGCAAACTATATCAACACTCCTTACCTTTCCCTGGCACAATATGTCTTGCCCGTTTACTAAGAGTGGACAGGCAAGCAAGCCACATATGGGCCACAATCAAAATCTGGTATTAAAATGGCTGACCAAATCCCTCTCAGCGATTTTTTAAGGAACCGACGATTTCCGGCTGGGGCTGCCCCGTATCCTTCACCTACCCGAATCGTTTTGGAGGACGTGGCTGCCCCTCGAGGTTCGCTCCCCCCCCGAGCCTGGGGCACAGGTCACATCGTGCCGCGTGGGCGCCACGTCATCGGTGCAGCAGGCGTCCATGATGTTGGGCGCCCGCACCGACCCCACGATGCGGCACTCCTCTGGGTCTGGGGGGAGGCGTTCTTTTTTTTTGGCGTGGAGCAGAAGCGAACAGCTGAACATGTAGAGTCATCTCAAAGGGCCGTGGAAAATAATTGGCTTCCTTCTGGACTTTCGGCAAAGAGTGGTGCTCAGTGTCAGACTTTGTCTGAGGCGTTAGTGCCCTCCCTTCTTCGGAGCGCCCGCACAAATCCAGTCCGATGTAGATTCACAAAAAAAAAGCAATGACGATACCGGTCAGCGTTGTGAGAACCACGCTTAACAACCAATTCAAGTCTTTGTTGCTGTTGATCCCTCTGCAAAAAGTTGACTTTTTGGGGTTGAATGGAGCACTCGACACGTTTCAACCAAAACGCTGAATTCCACTAGCCACAAAGAACATGGGGACTGCCATCCTGCTCTTCCTGGACCTTTTTGGAAGTTTGGGGTGTGCATTCAAAGTGCCGAAGGCCAGAAGAACACATTGTTGGCGTGATTTAGAGTCTAAAAACACATTTCTTTGCGAGACTAGTCATAACTCCTCTCTCTCTCTCTCTCTCTCTCTCTCTCTCTCTCTCTCTCTTTCTCTCTACACACACAGACACCCACCGAGTGTGTGTGTGTGTGTGTTCTTTTTTGGGACCCACCAACATGCTGGATTCCTTTAGCTTTCCCTTAAAAACCACTGAAAAAAGGGGCACCAACCACACAAGTACCGCACATCCGCACGGTCCCGTCCCCGCCCACGCAGCTGTTGGCCATTTGCTTCTCTGTGTTCAGATCCGACGTGCCGAGGTTCTCTAATCGCCCTGCTTCGGGATAGTGGGTCGGGTCGTAGAATCCTCGGACAGCCGCGAGGCCGGGTCTTTAGGGCGCTTGGACCCGGGCCGGGTCTGGCGCCTACCTGTCACAGTCGGGGAAGGGCATGTTGTTTGTTCTTTTCTCCTGTCCAAGGACCTGGTTGCAGCCGGGGAAGGCCCAGCATGGCTGGAGTCAATGTAATTTCAAGCTGCCTGGACTCTACTCTGGCCCTGAAATGGCCGGTGGTTATATTCTGTGTTCTGTTTGCAATGGCTTGGGATTCTGGAACTTCAGGGGCGTGCCTACACCGGCAAACAAAAGGCGGGGCACTCACAAGAAAAACGGAAGATCAGTAGATATCGTGGGATAGCCAGGAAACTAAACATGCATCAACATGAACAAACCACTTGATGTGGCGCAGTATATGATTAGGACGCGTTTGTCAGCTTTGACTTAAACAATACCACCAAAAAGACAGACGTCTCCAAAGTGTTGCCACCAGAGTAACCACAAAAACTCTGTAATGCGTACGAGTGTCAATTTATATCATATGCTTATATGTGCACCTATATTACTTGAATGTCAACATACATCTATACATCTGCACATGTGCTGACGTTGTGGGTGGAGATGCTTGAAAGCTCTGCACGACACTGGGAACTCAACAATGGAACAGTCAAGGGGAGGCCGGCATGCCTTCCCGTTTGCTTTTTAAATAACGGCCATGAACAAAGGGCCCTGAATATACAGCAGGGGGTGCGAACATGAACACTGCGATGCCCTGCACCCTCTGTCTGTGGAGCCTTTCACAAAGTACACGGCTTCACCAAAAAATACACGTGACCCACCCATCTGACCAAGGCACCAGCAAGCTGCGACGCCACTGTTGCCCAACACCACTCTGGAGAGTACTGCATGCATGCCTCAATGCTAACAAATCTGAAGCAGTTGGGGCACACCCCTCAACTTTGGATGGAAGGAAGCAAGAATGAAGTTTCGCTCTAGGCTCTTTATTCCTTTGCTTGCTTCCAGGAAGAAGGTACACAAAACTAAATCCAAAGCATTGTGGCTCCGCGGAAAGATTCGGAATGGCGCTGGAGCAGCTACATCGGGATGGTTCCGTAGCACGCCTGGCTGTTCAATTATGCAGGCGTTTCAGGCGCTGTTTCATGCCCAAAGAATGCTAAGACCATTGATTCAGCATCAGCCTGCAGAATCAGTTAGCACTTTCACACGAACTCGCAAAAGACTTGAGCCCTACTGCCCTACACGTTGAAGAGCGCAAGCAAGCGCGACAGCAACCCGTCTCTCTCTGTCTCTTGCTGTCACCTTTTGCCTTTTGACCTTTCGGCTTTTAGGCCCTTTTCCTGTTTCTCCGATTAATTTCCCTCTGCGCTTTCTGTGTCTTTCGGTCTTCCTTCCTCTTGCTCGTCTTCTCCTTTTCCCGTGCTTCCCCCTGTCTCGTTTGACTTCCTGCGCTCGCGTTCGGTCTTGCGCTCGCTTGCTTTGTCCACCGCGCTGCCGGCAGCGCGTGGCGCACGTCCAGGGCGCACTGCTGCTGCTTCGCCGGGCTGGCCTGCAAGGAACGAAAGTGAAGCCTTTTGCTCACCTCATTCTCACTGGCTGGATGGCCCAAGAAAAGTCCGAACTTTCTATTCGCCACATTAAACAAAAGTCCAAACTTCCCAAAAAGACCAAACCACAAGTCCCAAAATGTCCAAACTTCCCAAAACAAGTTTCAAGTTGACCTTAGGAAGTGAGCATTTCGGTGTGTCTTGTCAGAGTTGGTACCCCGTTTGGAGAGGCTGTAAAGGGAAACTCACATTCTTAGTTGGGGGGGAAGGTATTAACAAAAAGACACACCTCATTTGCCTAGACCCATAGACAGGGCATAACTGCAACAACAACGTTTTCGGTCCGTATCGAACCCGCTACAGCTTGTTGGTGGGGTGCTTGAAAGATTTGGATCCTCGTGCTATCTCAAATGCAGCTTTCATTCTACAAGAACGCCAGCCCCAAAGAGGGACAGATCTGGAGCGCGAGGCGGAAAGCAGATCACGTGCTGGAATTCACTGGATATGGCTTGATCAAGGTGTCCCTGACAAGGCACAGTCGATTCCGACAAACCCACGATAACGTTTTGCGAATTCGAGGGGTGTCCTTGATCTCTACTTCCGCAATTTGCAGGACATCAGCTATAACACGCCTGTCTGGTATCTGTTTTTGGACTGTCCAAGTTTGAGAGCAAACTCCAGACCGCAGATGGTCAGCGACTCCAAAGTAAACACAATTGCAAAGTAAACACATAATTGTTCCACCCAACTACATCAATAATCCATTTGCTGCAAATGACGACAACAAATCGTGCAATGAGCAGTTCATCAACTTATATGACCAAGTATTGCACTCAGTACTCCTTGCATGCGAACAGGCCTGGTTCCAAGGAAGACTGTTGTAATGATTTGTCGGGCTTTCTGCAGTCAGGACACTAAAGTTGATTTTGTATGTTAACCCTGGCACAAACAATTTACGGTTTCGCAAACAAGCGCTCTACTCACTTCCTGAGTAGACAACCAAAAAAGTCCAGTCTTGTTGTTTGCCACTAAAATGGTCTACTCAGTTGTTCAGTGACCCTGAAAAAAAGGGGAACCAATTCTTTTTGGGGAAGACCACTTTTAGTGGGGCAGCCACCAAAAAAACAGGGAAAAACAATTGGTGATACTGAACAACTGAGTCTTCCGAAGGTTCAAGTCCGATCGGAGCTCCAGGAGTGAGCCTCCGATCGGCT